ATGCGAGGGAAGGATAAGTTGTGCCGTCTACGAATGTAACAAGGAATGTATTAGGATTTAGAAAGACATTGACAGTGTACATTGTAAGGAATAAAGATGAAATATCTGCACCTTATCTGACTTGTAATACCTATCGGACAGGTACATCTTAAGATTAGGAATGTTGAGGGGAGAAGAGCCTTTAACTCCGAAAGAATCTCCGGGTGCCAGACTCGATTGAAGGCTTGCTTTAAGTCACGAAATACCCCAGGACAATACTCCCTTCGCTCAAGACTAGAAGAGATGACATTATATCACTTGATGATCATGCGAGGATGATGTTTTGAGTTAAAAAGTACTTTCAGGTAGTCACTCCTTGTGAATATAATTGTAGTGTGGATGATGACCATCATAACAGAGACTGCTATAAGGATGGTTCACTTCAAGGTAAAGGGAGCGGTGTAGGCATCTACCTAAATACCTACAGATACCTAAATTCTACCTAGATACCTAAATTCGGAATCAGCATCTCCTCCTCCCCTCTTGGCAATAACACCTACTTTTTCAGGCGGAAATCTTGGTCATTAATGTGTGTTGTAGAAAACTTATGAAAGATAAAATCAAGGGAAAAGATATTAGAATGTTTTCTGACAGCCAGGCTAGTGTTAGGCCATTACAAAAAGATTTGTCAGCCTCAAGACAGGTGGAGGAAACTGTAGGATACCAGCACATAAAGGACACCATGGCAGTGAAGAGGCGGATGGCCTAGACAAAGAAGGCTGTAATACTGCGTTTGTCGGGCCACAACCGGTATTACCTCACTCTATGAGCACAGCAAAAGAGCGTATCAATAGTTGGGGCATGAAACAATTCCTTAAGGAATGGAATCTATCCCCCGGACACAGGCAATCGGAAGAGTTTGTTAAGGTGATCAAACCAGCAGAATCGAAATGACTATTTCTATCTCAAGGAAGGGAATTAGGAGGCTGATAGGTATCCTGACGGGCCACTGCCCACTGAGAAAACACCTCTCCGTAATGGGTATTCTACCAGATCCCTTTTACCGTTTTTGCGAAATAAAAGAAGAAACGGAAAGGCACTACCTCGCAGAGTGTGATAGCTACGCTAGGTCTAGATTTGAAATCTTTGAAAGAGAAGAAGAAGAAAGACATCACTAAATCACTCCCTGAGATTAAATGGTCCGAAATCTTGGGGTTTGTGAATAGGTCCAAGAGATTTATGCAGGACACATGAGTCGACCAAGTCCCGGACCTTTTAGGGATGGGATACGAGTCTACCCAGGCATTTTACCTCTCGGGTCTTGGTCGCCCACGAGAGTTTAGGAGGGAATAGATAAGTTTAAAAAGAATTTTCTCTAAGACTTTACATTGAAATGGGCGTAAAGAAGGTCTGTATGAATTCGTTAGGTGGGAAGTTTTATTGGGTTTTGGGATCATATTAATTATTGAATACTTCCAGAGCCTAGGACAATGGGTTGTTCTAATGACTAATTGGAAAGGTAAGTTAAAAACAAAAGAGATTTTTTTTTAGGAAGACTCCGGAGTACTGTCGGAGTAGTTAGGTCATCCTGCGGGGGTTTTTTGTAGGTAATTTATCAATAACTTTTTTAATTATATTTAGAGAGTTATGTTTCGGAGGAAAAGATAAGGGTTAAAGGTTCGTTTAAAAAAGTGTATAGGTGGTCTTAGTGTATTTGGTCCAATATGGGAGAGAATGGAGTGAAGACAGAAGCAAGGTATTCGGCAAATAAATCTGATTTTTCAGCGTCCAAAATCGCCCATGTCACGGGTCCCATCGTAGAGGAAGAGAATTTTTATTGTTGGTCAGTATCTGTTTACTGCAAGACAAAATTGATTTATCCTTAGTAGTAAATTGTGAAGTAAATTTTTCGATTTGTACGTCTTTTTGTTTGTCAGTTCTCGTTTTAACTGATGGTTTGTATATTATAAAATAGGAATTTCATGAAGACTAATTTGAATACAACAACTTTCCTCGTTGTTTTCACAATGAGGTAACTTGGTATTTTGCCGTCGTTTGTTTTCCCAGATGTCCGAATTGGTACGTCCACGTGGAAGTATGTTATATTAGCCGATGAAGTCCAGGACCGCTGAAAACGGAAGCCCAGCGACAAAAGGGCTGACACGGTTGTCATACTTTACCCACATTGTGAACCCTTGTCGGACTCGTGGTTGATAAGCGCCTTTTCATTGGCTCAACCCCGCTGGAATACCGTCTATAAATTCAATAATGCCTGATTCGTTTTTCACATATCACGGGCAATGCGACTATTGGTGTCAAGCGAATAAGGATCACAAATTTTATTTTATTGTCTATTGTTTAGATTTTTACTTTACAACCTTTGTTGTTCTTACTAGATTTTTAGATAAGGGTACATCGATGAATTTAGTTTTTCTGGTCCCTATTCTTTCCCATATCTTCAATGTTTTATAATTTTACTCTAATATTATGAAGATACATACAACTAAAATTGCACACACAACCCAAAAAAAAAAAAAAAAATACACACAAATATAACAACACATTTGGTCTCCCACTTCTACGCACCTCAGTACAAAGTGTAGTCTTTAAGAATATCAAAAGATTCCTGAGATAGAAACAACTGAAACAATATCTAAAGAGAAACCAACATAAAATCCTAGAGAGAAGTAAAATAAATGTGATAGTTATAACAGCACCTGACAAAGTTAAAGGAAAATGGAAATTTGACAGTCCTTTCCAAGTTGTCATTTATAATAGAGAAATTTGGAAGAAAGGCAACCCCAAGTTTCAGAAAGGGGCTTTGGCACTCGGATGGAACAATGAAGAAACAACCGAAATACCTCTTGGACTAGTTTTACGTATCTTTCAAGCTGAGGTCCATGCACTCCAGCTCTATGCTCAGGAGTGATAAAAAATGAAACGTTCACGGATAAACGTACTATCGGACAGTCAGATCATCATCATAAAGGCAAGAAATGCTCTGATTTTAGGTTCAAACTAATTTGGGATCGCCCGAATTATCTAACGGCCCTAGGGTAACACAAGAAAGCCTTGAGGTGGGTTCCCGAACATTGAGGTATATAAAGAAACAAACACTAATCAATTCTCCAAAAAATCGCCCAGACCCACATCTACCCACAGCAGAAAGTGTGCTCACGATTTAGCTGGAAAAATGGCCTGTGAAAGAAAACACAAAATAGAAGGTATGCTAAAAGATTTGTCATTCACTCAAAACGGAGAGTCCTTTCTCTTAGCAGGCAAGATTTCAAGAAAATTATAGACCTCCATACCAGCCACTTGAATAAAATATAAGCTAAAGGTACAACGCATATGGATGAATTCACTTATTAGTTTTTGACTGATAGCTAGTTAGCTAAGATAGCAGTCCACCATTGTTGTCTTCATTGTCAACTGACCGCACAATCGAAACTTGCAACCATGTTGCCTGCTGGTGTAGAAAGTTTGGTACATGGCAGTACCCACGTACTCATGCACTACGATGGTATACGAAAGCCCACAATTCTCCAGTGCCAGAGCTTACTTCTTGTAACAAGTTCATCCATCTATCCTCACATCTTAATTGGTAGAATATCAGCCAGTTGAATATTGTATATTGTAAGGTGTAACTTGAGCCCCTGGACGGACGTTTCTTACAGCCTGCAGTGATTCCATTTTTATTTTGGCTGATATAAATTCTTAGCTACATTTCCTTCTGCGTTCAAGAGGGCTATCACAGGTGTGTATCTGTATTATCAGTAAGGCGTGATATTTGCAGCACCTGAGATCAATCGCATTAGTCTGTCCAGTGTGCAGATGTTTCATTGGGTGATTGGATGCATTCTCAACTTCTTTCTCCATTTTCCAGATAAGTAGCTTAAGTTCTGTCTTTTCTCGCGTTTCAAGACTACCATCCTAATTCAATTCCAAATGTTGGGGTTGAATTCTAATTTGTCTGAAATCCATCGCTCGTGTTTACTTAAAGCATGATTTAGACATGCAGTTATTGCAGAAATGTGACTGCTGGAGTTCATCTCTTTTAGCACAAATTTATGTAAATAGAGGATGATGTGGTACTTGATATTAATTTTGGTAGTTTCCGTCTACCTATACTTGCAGTTTTGGTTTATAACAATGACAATTAACTTTTTGATTCAAAGGAAAATAAACAGTTCAACTTTTGGTCTTAGATGTAAATGTAGATGTATTAGTTGGGGTGTATATTATACATCTCCCTTTAGGAGCTGTTGTTTCCCCTGTTCTGTGCTTATAGCACCCCATCTTAGTTCTTTAAGGAATTGACTAAAAGTCCCAGTTTCAGTGGTTGAATCTCTTCTACGGTCACATTGTATGTCCCAAAACCTGCAACTGGCAGGTATAGCATCACAGTTTGTTAATAGATGTGTTTGTGTTTCCTCTAATTCTTTGCAGAATTTGTTGGATAATGACAATCTGATTCAGATGTCTATGTAGGTTGCAGTGCCTAGTTAAGAATCCTGTTTTTCCTGCATCCTTTAATGCAGTCTGTTACCTCTTTCTTTCGAAAGTTAGTTTGTAGGTTATTGAATGGTTTGTATCTAATGTGTGAGTTCCCTTATTCCCTCATTTCCTTTTTATCCTTCTGTCTAAAGGATCATGTTTTAATAACATATTAGATCAAATTTGGTTTGATCAATAATTATAAAAATTTAGAGGTATAAAAAACACACTAAGTGGACGTATATATTAACGCATTTTACAATATAAATATATTAAATTTGTTCAGTATTACATTTTATATTTGAAAATGTTAATAATTTTAAAGGCAGTATTCTTGTCAACTTTGGAAAAAGATTATAAGTTTACAAAAAAAAAAAGATGACTAGTATATCTTAGATGTAAAAAATGTAATGCACTCTGATCGTTTTTATTCAATTTTTAAATTAAACTTAATGCATCCAAACTATCTTGAAAATGAAACATTTTACTTTATGAAGAATTCTGACCTTTGTTTAATACGTTGATTTTTTTTCAAATTTACTTAGAACAATTTCATCCAATGGAATAAACAAAAAAAAACAATCAGTCATAATACAAGCTAAATAAATCTGAATGAAAGAATCAGCTACATAGTAAAAAAGTATATTTAAAAAACTTTAAAAATAAATCTTACACAAACGCTTTTATACAACAGAATTTTTTTAAATGTTATTTTGAAGGAGACTCTTCCAATTCAGTTGCAGCCACTTTGGCAGGCGAGGCGAGATCTCCAACTTTGAGAACTTTCTTCGAATTTTGTACAAACTCCTTTAAATAAAAACCAAGAGATTAATTCGTAAATTTAAAGATTTTAAAGATAAAAATAATGTCGAATCATACCATGAGGCCTTTGCTCATAAAATAAGGCTTACTGATGCCATCATTGATCTCACAGTCTTCGCAGAAGCAAATGAAGATTGTATCAATCACCATTTCATAAACGGCGATGAAAGCATGGGCAATCAAATATGCAAACAGCCCTGCTAGAGTCAACGGAACCCATAAGTGATAGACACCATCTTTGCTCTTTAACAAAAATGTCAGTTGTCATTTTTTTTCTCAAAAAAAGCATAATATTAAAATAAGTTGAAATACATCAAGTAGCACTGTTCCCATTAGTACTGTTGCAATGACAACGATAGCTTTAGCCAACAGAAGAACAAAATCACCGATCGTGTTAATGGCCGCCACACGCAGAACATTACTCACTAACACTTGCACAGATTGGTGGCTCGCACGGCAAAAAGAATGCCCATAAATAGCTGAAAAATTATTCATTGTATTTTATTTTCGTTTTATGTATAATATACGCGTTAATATTACCTATTTCGATGTATGCGTTTCTAGTGACATAGACGAGGATCTTTTCAAAACAGTAAAGACAAAAATGGCAACATTTTGAACAGAATTTTGTAATGTCGTTCTTCGGCTCGGCCAATGTCGATTCAATGTATTTAAACAACGATCTGAGAAGTTGGCAAAGTGCGATAAAGAACGAGCCAAGGAGGACTGAACCTAAATGGTATCTCAGGAGGTTCTTTGCACTTGTGCTTATTGGAGACCTCATTTCTTCTTTATTTCTGTAAAACAGTTTTAGTTTTAGTGTTAAAAAGTTGATATTTTAAACTTCTCTACCTGGTGAAAAACCAGGTTGCGACGGCACCAGCGATGATCATGTGCTGGCAGCCTATGCAGATCTGAGTCATCCAGAACATCGCAAGCAAATTGTACCACCTAGAAAACTGAACATTTTCAAATTTAAAACAGTGCAAATAAAATGGGAGACATTTTAAAAACAAACCTTCATTGCAAAATCTTTTTTGTAATAGTAATTCGGTGATGCATTTTTCAAATATCCAGCACTTTCTATCCAAATTGAAAAGTACAACCATAATGCTACCACTCCTGCTAAGGCAAGAAATGTCTGAAAAAATTAAAACGTCATTTATGTCATCTTCATCTTGTCAATATTAAATCAAACAAAATCCAAAATTGTAAGAAAACTATAAAAACAATCGATAAAACAGCAAACATATATATATATATATA